GCTGGGGGGGGGCGAGGAGGAGGAGGAGGAGCGGACTCAGGTGCAAGCGATAATTTCAAGGGGGAAGGAGAGGAATAGCGACAGAAGCTCTAGCCGCACCACAGTAAATAGGACTCCCCTGTCAAGCAGTTCATCATAGCGGCTGATAAGGATGCGTGTAGGTGAGAAAGATTGCTATATTGCTTTAACAAAGAATTAGAAAAAGTAGTAATTTTATACATGGTCTGCTTATAGATGAAGGGAATGAATAGCCGGAAATATTCTGGGATGTTATAAAATCAAAAGGACTTCTGTACAGCGTGGCGATGCACGACAGGAAATTAACTCCAAAAAGAATGCTTTCTCTTAAACTGCTGCAACAGAATTGAGAATTTTTCTTTTCTGGTATCTGAAATTCCTCCTGAAGACACAGCAAGGACTATCAAAAACATCAGAGAGATCCTGGTACTTTTAAAGAGACTTAAAGCAAATGCCAGCATAATATCTGAATGACCTTGGAGATCATTTTATGTGGATTCATTAATTCTCACTGCCAGTCTTCTAGTCTCAGGAACTCTAGGATGAAAGATGGTTTTAACATTTTAGGGGCCTTTCAAAAAGCAAGATTGTATACAATTAATTACCTGCCTAATGATTCCTGAACTCATCAAGCATTTACTTAAAACTGAACACAGAAGATGCTTTCTTTTAACGTTTGCTTTCTCCATAACTGCGAATAAAATGAACAAGGTAATGTCCTGCAATTAGAAGAACATTTTTTTAAAGCAACTATTTATTATGCTGGTCGTCTAATGATATAGAAACCCTAAAACTACGTGGAAGATGAAGCTGAATAGCCGAATAATGGAGTAGTAAACAATGGCAGCTTTTCTAGTCAAATCAGCATTTCGTTAGCTTCACAGCAGAATGCAGATGGAAGTTTCTGTTCTCGTTGTGTGGGGGTTTGTGAAATGATTCAGGTGTAGCTACAGAGGTGAGCAATATCATGGATATACCTATGAACTCCTGGGTACTGATCCACTGTAGCAGATATGGCAGAGTTTCCAAAGGTGATTATTTTAAATTACCATTGCTGAAATTAAATTCAAGAGGATTTATTTTGTCTGTGGGGACCTTGAATTATGCTTCTGGCATTAATAATTGTAATGGACTATAACTGTTTGAAGGAATTGTGAATATTGACATGAGTCTCCAAATTCTATTCTTAAATTATTTTCATTTTTAAATGAATAGACACAATCTTCCTCATTGTATGTGAGATGTATGTTTTCTTTCTTGGGAGTCAGAGGACAAATCTGCCTTGTCCCCCACCCGTCTCCCTCCAAATAAAATTCATTATTCATACCCAAACAGTGGTGAGTCTATTGGAATTAACCTTGACAAAAATGTTTTCCTTACCTTTCCAATGAATACCATGGATAAGACAGAGTACCATCTCCTGAATGGAGCCAGAAAACACAGCATTAGATGGTAAACTTTTTCCTTTACTCTCCAGTCAGTCTGTGATTTAAATTGAGATATTAAAAATATTCTGTCTAGTAACTGCTGGTCCAGGAAACCTGAGCTGTACTGAGGTTCGTCCTTCCCTTCCTCCCCCTTGCCCCATTATATTCCAAAGTAAATGACTTTCTCAGGAAAATAAGCAGTCAGAGATTTCCCTCCCCACCCCCCCCCGCCTTCCCTGGGAAACGGATGTGTCTCTTTTGTCAGTTTTTATTCCTGTATTTCACAGTACCGGTTTGTTTTAGAAGTGCCTTGTGTTTGCTAAAGATTGGTCAAGAGCACTGGAGGAGCTGATCAGTGGCCTTTCTCTTTCTGGCTTTTTTTTTTTTCTTTTCTTTCTTTCTTTCCTTAAAGCTAAGGTGTGCCAGAGGTGATGCACTGATGCTGAGGAGGCATCAACAGCTATGGGACTGTAATCCTCTCAAATGTAAGCACTGGCAGTGTCTACAAAGAGAGATCGTGAGACGCTGAAGCAGAGTTTAGCTGCTGTTAAGCAGGTCATCTGCTCACTAAGGCTCAGATTGCAGTGTTCCCTAATCACAAAACATGAACCAGTCCCGATGGATTGAATGGAGGACTCTGAATATGAGCAGTAGTGTTATGAACGTATCTGAGCATCTCTCCTGCCCTCTTGGATTTGGTCACTACAATGCAGTTGACATCTGTATCCTTGAGACAGTTGTTATTGTCTTGCTAACATTTTTAATTATTGCGGGTAACTTAACTGTGATATTTGTTTTTCACTGTGCTCCACTGCTGCATCATTATACCACCAGCTATTTTATTCAGACCATGGCCTATGCTGATCTTTTTGTTGGAGTTAGCTGCTTGGTTCCTACTCTGTCACTGCTCCACTACTCGACAGGTGTCCACGAGTCCTTGACTTGTCAAGTTTTTGGATATATCATCTCTGTGCTCAAAAGCGTATCTATGGCATGTCTTGCTTGCATCAGTGTGGATCGCTATCTCGCTATAACAAAGCCTCTCTCCTATAATCAACTGGTCACACCTTGTCGCTTGAGAATCTGCATCATTTTGATCTGGATATACTCTTGTCTGATCTTCTTGCCTTCCTTTTTTGGTTGGGGAAAACCTGGTTACCATGGAGATATTTTTGAATGGTGTGCTACCTCCTGGCTAACTAATGCCTATTTTACTGGCTTTATCGTGTGCTTACTATATGCTCCTGCTGCCTTTGTCATATGTTTCACGTATTTCCACATCTTTAAAATTTGCCGGCAGCACACCAAAGAGATAAATGATCGGAGAGCTCGATTTCCTAGCCACGAAGTGGATGCTGCTGGGGAGACTGGGCACAGCCCCGATCGCCGCTATGCCATGGTTTTGTTTCGGATAACCAGTGTGTTCTACATGCTGTGGCTCCCCTATATCATATACTTTCTGCTGGAGAGTTCTAGGGTGTTGGAAAACCCAGCACTTTCCTTCTTAACAACATGGCTTGCTATAAGCAATAGTTTCTGCAACTGTGTGATATATAGCCTCTCCAACAGCGTTTTCAGGCTGGGACTGCGGAGACTGTCAGAGACAATATGTTCATCATGTATGTGTTTAAAAGACAGGGATGTACGGGACCCTAAACCAAGAAAACGGGCTAATTCCTGCTCCATTTAAAGAAAACTGGTGCATGTAATCAAACGTGGAGTTTTGATAGTATTTGCTGTATCTGGAAACTTGCCAGAAGAGAAATGTTTACTTGAATAGTTTGCTATGATGTTAGAGTGAGTTTAAAAGTGATTGCGGAAAGGGAAAGGGCTGCTGTGAGAGAGGTCACTGAACTTGAATATAGCTCTTGTGAAATTGTCAGGAGAGCAATTCGACGGAGACGATGAAGAAAGTCAGAACTAAAAATCTTCCAAAGGGCATGAAATAACTACCACATCAGAGGAGGTTCCTCATAAAATAAATAAGTTAGTTACTATCTTATATTTTCCCCCTTGTAGAAAAGTTGTCTTACTATCTTTGTGTCAGAATATACTGTAGCCTTCTGAATTTAAATATATTTAAGAGGAAACAATCAACAACACAGTAAGTGGCTATCCGTAAATTATATACCTGAGGACTATCGTAGATATTGCAGATTAATAATCAACTCTATCTCTGCTCATATCTTGTACAATTTTCAGTTGTACAAACAATCCGCAATGCATAAAACCTACACTGGGCATGACGCTTTTGGATAAAATGGCACATTTTGGTATAACTTTCACAGAAGCTCTCCCTCTCATTTCCCCTTTTTTTTTCATACTGTGCATCCCTAGATTCCATCGCGTCCAAGTGGTTTAGTTTGAGGGCACCTACGAGGTAAACTGAGTTTCAAACCATTCTTCCTGCAGAAAGCAATAGCCCTTCCTGGCTGGCTGGCTAACTGCAGCTGCCTATGTACAACGACTTCTTCAATCTTTCATTCTCTTGATCCTGTTAAATTAGCACACAGTATCGATGTAGTGTCCTTTAGGGTGTACTAAAGCTTTTCCTTTATTGGCTACACAGATAATCCTAATGCAGATATGATAATTGCACACAGCAGTGTGCATCACTGCTTGGAAAATTAAAACTAACTAACCCTTTTCTTTGGGAAGTCTAAATCGCTTATTGTCGTAGCTGTCAATCCGTTGTGTGAACCTAGCTTGCACATACTGTATTTTTTTTAGAGAAAACGTAAATTGTGGTCTGTGCCTACTGTTTTCATAGCACATGGAATAGGTCAATGCTACAGGATTAAAAAATTAACACTTGCTTTAAGAGAAATACTTCTGTGCAGTTATTGAATAGCTGTTTGTTAGACAAATGTTCTTGGAGGAGGAGAACAAGACAGTTTAGTATTAAATACAGGCAAAGAGCTTCAGTATTTCCTTTTGTACTGAACTGATTTTCAGGTACGCTGATGAAATCTTTTTTATTTTGCAAGGGCGCACATTAGGTTTGTGTAATAAATTGCCAGGGGTTCAGATGCATGCCAATCGATAAAATATTTAAATTATTATTTTGAACCAAATGTAATTTTCTTAGATGGTTATTGGCTTTTAAAAAAGGCCCAATTATGACTATTGGTGCCTTTTAACACTGCACTATTATTCCTTCTTTCACCAAAATGCATATGTAAAGATCGTGCCTATTACTTTTTGTAATGGAAGCTAACCACGCTTGCACACTTGTGGTTTGACTCCAGATCTCCCTTAATTATGTATTCTTTGTTCTGTTGAGGTGGTTCTGAACCCCTGTACATTTTTTAAACCTGTAAGAAAGTTGAAACAATGGAATAAAGTAGTATTATGTATATCAAAACCAGCCTTGGCTTTAGTTCCCTGATGTTACGCTCCGTTCTCTGTGAAAGTTCTTTTGGGTTAGGACTCAAGAGTGAACGATTTAAAATCCAAACCTCAAAGCTGCTTACTTGCCGTCTTAAACGTTTATATACCGGTTTCTAGCATTGCACAATCTTTAAAGCAGATTGAAATATGACTTGAAACATTCCTCTAGCTAAGCTGAGCTGTGCTGACAATTAGCCCTTACAGATATTATGGAAAAATGAGTAGTATTCTTTGCACGTATCTTGTAATGCTCCATGTCTACAGAAATGTGTCTGCTGCCTTCTTTTGAAAAGTTGCTGTTTATTTCAGAAGGCTCTTTTTGGCTGACTGCTGCTCTGTGAGGTTGTGTAACCCCCTCTCTTCTTACAAACACGACTTGGATTCCTTTTGTTTTGTCATTATTTTGTCATTGTTTCCTGCTTAGTAGGTCTCAGAGTGCAAGACTTAGACAAGGAACAATGAAATATCTCATTTCTCAGAACTCATGGGGCTGGTTTCATACCAATAAAGTAGTTTTATATCTGTGCTCCAGAGCTGGCCGCTTACCGCTTCTGGTTTTTGTTGGGATTCCTGGTAACTAGTTTCTATGGGACCTCCTGAAATTCAAAAAAAGTTCCAGAAAATGCTTGAAGTTGAACTAACCTTTTAATAAAATCAAGCAATACAGCCTGGAGGCAGTAGATGCATTGTTAGCGTGGTACTGTAACTACAAATATGTAGAAATACACAAGCTAACTCATTTGTATCGGTAGTGCCTTAGTTGAACCTTGCTTGTATAACCTCAGCAAATGGAGTTGATGTACAGCAACTTGAAGCTTTATTGCCTGCAAACGGTGGATCAGAAAGGGAGCTTCACTTCAGAAGCTGTGGCACAAGGTTTACTCACCAGCCCACCGGCTTCTTGCCCTAAAAGGCAGAGTTAGCAATACTTTTCTCTCTCCCATGGTGTTGAGCTTGTGGAGTTGTCAGGCGGGATTGAAGATTTCCTTTTTTCCTCTTGGAAAAAAGGTTCCAGGCTGTTCTTGGAGGGAGAGAATATAGTAGAAATCCAGTACCCTGCAAACAAATCGTAGGTTCCTAGGTTCTTTGCCCTTTTTTGGGGGTTTGTTTCTTAAACATTGGCTTAATGTTGTTGGTGCAAGAATGCTAATTTGCTTGTCTGGACTCTGAATTTCAGTTGCCGTGAAGTCACACTTCAACCTGTTCTTTGTAAATCCGAGCCTCCTGGTCTTCTGGAGTCTGTCAAATTAAACATCCTCAGCAGAGTTAAATACCGCGTTTCTTCTTGCTGTTTGCAAGATGACAGGATTTGACCTGGTGGTTAGTCACATGAATTTTTAAATTTAGTAAGTGTGTTTCAGTTTTTGAAAGTATTTTCTAAACTCATGATTTAAAAATTTTTTTGAAGGAGGTTTGTTATTGTTTTACTAATGCTGTCTGAGGATTCCAGCTGGTGCTAAATTCTCTTCCAAAATTATACAGCTGGACGTTTTAATGGATAAAAAATATCCAACAGAAATTCCAGTCACCCAGTCTGTCACTTTTGATTTTCATTCTGTCATTATATAAAGTCTCATGTTCGTGTATGAAAATCTGATTAGAGAATGAGACTCTTAAAGCTGGCATCTGGAGTACCTATCCCACTTTCATGTGCCTGAAGATCTTTATGATTTATGAAGTACCTGGTAAATAGGTGACCAGACACGGACCAAAGAAATCGACGTGATAAAATCATTGTTGATAATACAGGTAATAATAAAGTCTCTCCATATACAGATACATTGAGGGAGTACTAAATCTTTAGGTTCCTTTAAAAAAAAAGATGAGAAGAAAACATATGTAAAATATTAAATAAAAAGGTTAAAGTGGAGAGATATGCCTAATAGGTAAGCAAAACAAATACATATATAAAAAACTCCTTTGTGCAGGTAGATTACGTTGTGCCATTACATTTTTCTTGAATACTTGTAGTGTAACAGAGGCTATGTCAAGGTCGATTGCGTTACTGTTTTTGGAATCTCATGTCTTCAGCCTAAGGAAAAGTAAAAAAAAAATTGTGTAATGGCAGCAAAAGCGCTACCAGAAAAGTAATTTTTTCTTCACCAAATTCTACACGCTTCCTTATTTTCTGGAATGGCTAAGTGAATTTCTCCTTAAAATACTGTTCTTTAAAGGGAAAGAAGACTAGTAAGAAAAAGCACAATGCTGTCTTTTGAAAGTCTACTTGTAAGATTCCGCGCCCCCCCCATTTCTGCTTAAGAATCCATTTTGTAATTGTACTTGATAAAGCATGAAGTATCACGCTAGATTTATTTTTGTGCAGAATCTTTGTGCTTCCTCTGCTGAAACGTTTGAAGTGTTTTGCTTTATTGAGCCACCTTTCATAGATAGAGTTTATGAAAACCTTCTAAAAATAGCATTTATATTGGGTTTATGGTTATTTTTAATGCATTAGTGTTTGACAACTGAATATCCATAAGCCCACTTAGTTTTCACACTCAGCAAAACTAATAAAATGTCCTTTTTGGGGTAAAATAACTTACTAGTCAATATTAGAAATTGGCTGTTGAGAGAAGAATATCAACGTAATGATTAGTTATTGCATTAGCTATTTCATCTTGCGTATGAAAAATTAAGCTTAACTTAATTTAACTTAAATTAAGCTTAACTTAAGAAAAAGATAGTTGTTGCAACAGGATATCGAGTTGATGGGATATGCATCAGTTCTTACACTGTCTCACGGTTGGTTCTCAACATGAAACTATTTTTATCTTTCCATATTACAGTTATAGCCAAACAAATAGATACATGAATTTTTTTAATGCTGCTACTTGAATGCTGAGGATCTGTATCTCTAAATCCAAGCCGCTGCTCGTGGTGGGGACATCCCTTTAACAGCTCTCAAACTCGGTTGCAGCGTGCCTAGTAACACGATGGTCCTGGAGCTGACTTTGCCAAGGAGCAGTGCCAGAGGTTCACGAGGCCACCATTGCTGTGGGGGAAGAACGTCAGTGAAGGTGGCAGTGGCCTCCCCAGCCATCCTCCAGGATCAGCTAATTTGCAGATCTTTCAGTTTTATTGTCACTGTCACCAAAAGGATAAGTTTGAGCCTTTGACTTCATCCCCCCACCCTGCTACCTCTGTCTCTCTTTAGGCTGTTTTATGGATGGAGTGGTGCATCATTCTACTAAGGAACTGAATTAGATTTATTTTGTTGGGGTTTTTTGATGAAAATATTTTATGTACGTCATTTGAATGGCAAAACCAAACATGACTTTGTTAACTAGATGCCGGTTAATT